ATAAATAAAAATAATATTATGCTATAATATAAATTATTTATCATAAATATAAAATATAATTTATAATAAAAACTTCCATTTATAAAAATTTTAAATATAATTTACATATTTAAATATAATATTTATTTATATAAATATTAGTATAAAAATAAAATAAAATAATAGAAGTTATATGACTAATTTGGAATCAAAAGATGAGTGGTTTTGAGATAGTCATGGAGGTAGATATAACTTTAAAAGAATGTATATATAAAAAAATATATCACATTTTCATTTTTATATTTTAATAATCATGTTATAGATAGAAAATATCACCAACTTTATTAATAATAATTCATTTTCATCAAGAAGTAAAACGATCTGTTGGTTTTCTTTTATATATTTTTATGAATTAAAAATAAAACGAAGGACGGATAATGAGTGTAGTTCTGCAAACTGAAACTCATGTTCTGTCGTCTACCAGGCGAATTATTATTGTAAATCACAGAAAAAATTTGAACTCAACAAACTAATAGTATATTATACAGTGAGTATAGACAAGTAAAGCTCTAAGATATTTGGAATTTATTTTCTTCATAAGTAAAGACATAGACATAAGTAATGACTTCAAATTAACAGTTTCGTGAGGAAAACAATAAATCAACCGAGATCAGATTATTCATGAAATTTTTTGATCCGAAATTCCGAATTATCAAATGTTTCGTTTGACCAAAGAAAAAGATATAGAGAAAGGAGCTAGAAGTCGTATCACAGTAAGATGAATCATGAAACATGATGATAGATAACATTATCAATCATGAGTTAAGTGATAAGTGATTCTAAATTGAAATAAATAAAAAGTGTAGGATGTGAAGGGATATGTGCAGGCTTTTTCAGATAGAAAATTGAAAGTAACTTGCGTGCAACACGGAAGGAAGGACAGCATATATCTGAATCTGAATCTGAGTGCCTTCACAGGGAGGGTAATTGCATAGCTAACTGAACATTCTCCACTTTTGCCTTTGCCAATAACGGTTTTCCCCTTTAACACATGCTTTTCTTTCTATTTCCATTTTTCCACCTTTTAACCCTCATCCTCTCATGCATCTATCGCTATATCCAAGTCTCATTCCTCTTAAATTTCAATTTCAAATATTAAATATGCGCATAACTAACTACCACTATTCCTATGAAATACAACCAATTACTGCTTTTCAACGTTCCTCGCGCTCATATCAACAAATTTAAATGCTGAATTTTTTAATGAGCTTGTCACTTTAACCACCATAATTATCTAATCAAAGGTGAAGGAGGAGAAATGTCTGTAGAATTAATTAGTGCTACCTCTTTAAGTCCTAACTTAGAATGGCTTTTCAACTTGAAGATAGATTCACAATGTATTAACTAGATCAATCCGCCTGGTTGGATCATCAAACTCTCCAACTCTTTCAAAACAGTTATATATATAATATGAACCTGGTTTATTAAAACATTAATTCCTGTAATGAAGCATATATTTCCAGTCATATATTGTCATTAATGATTTTTTCTCCCACCATTTTAATTATTGAACAGGATGGTGGATCACACAACATATTTGTGAAATACTTTTTAATAGTATCCTATGTATGATATGTATGATTCTCCTTTTATCTATTATTTTTATTCAAATATCTGACTCTATTGCATTAAGCAGCTACATATATACTAATACTAAACCACCGGCATCATATATATCATACAGAAATAATGTTATTTTTAATGCAAATGACATCAATAATACATTAATAAATTAAAGTAAATGGCCTACAAAAAGTATCCCTATATTAAATGGACATCAATTCAAGTTTAAATAATTCACTGTTGACTCCCAAAAATATTAATGAAGGAGAGCAGAGATATTTATGAATGGAAATCGTAACGTGGATGCGCAGACCCCCTCTCTCCTCTGTCCTTAATAGTAAAAGCAACACACTCATTGGCTCATAACATCAACTGAAACCGCTTCTCAGTGCAAAATAACAACTTAAACCAGGCTTTCAGAGTTTGATACCGGTATGGGCATCCAATATTATTATGTTATCAGAAAAATCCTTCTTTTTTTTTTGACGTTCACATACTAATATCATAGTCATAAAGTAAATAAATAAATAACCTAAAAGTTGCATTAAACAGCCAACAGCAGCATCGTTATTTTTAGTCACCATAATTAGAAATTACGAAGCCTTGTTTTTTCAGTTTTTGATTACTGGTGCAGTCTGATACAGTGACTCACACTTTGGCTTGAGCCTGTGAGAGGATGTAACGGTTTAAAGCACATATATGTTTACAAAGGAAAGGGCCATATATAACATGAGTAGTAGTTGATGGCGATCGTTTAGTCTCTATCACATCAACACACCCTCTCCTATTTACTCCTTTTTCTTGATCTTGACAATACCCGGTCCCTTTCCCTCCAAACTTTCTATTCCCATCCCCACTTTTCTAAGCATTTTCCGCCACTTCCCTCGCAGGTTGCCCGGAGAAGATCCAATTACAACATGGATGACACCTTATGCGACATTTTTGACGATAAAGAGTTTGGCGGGGACGAACTCTTTGCCATTTTAGAGAGCCTCGAATCTGACTTCACCGATTTCCCTCCCATTAACCAAGCTGTTGCTATCTCAAAGGAGACCAACGAGGATGTTTCCAGATTGGCCTCCCAAAAGTCAACCTCTTCAAGTGCTGCTCAAGATTCCGAAACTGAGCTTGAAACCTCGCCCAAAACAAAGAGACAGAAGCTTACCACCCCAGAGGAAGCAAATCCCGATGGACAACAAAAGATGTCTCACATTACCGTTGAACGCAACAGGAGAAAGCAAATGAATGAACACTTGTCTGTCTTGAAGTCACTCATGCCTTGCTTTTATGTCAAAAGAGTACGTCTTCATTTTACTTTTTATCTTAATTTCTCTTTGTCTTTCATCAATAAACTCCATAACTATATTTCTTTGCCTTTGACCTTTCTATAATTCTATTTCATTTTATAAATTCTAATTATTCTGAATTTTCCTAATCCCATCATAAATACGTGCTTATATTGTAGTAAAGCTACAACGGATCATCTTTTCACAAAATTCCTCTCTTGAATTTAGTTCACCATTTTGCTTAAAAATTTTACAATTTACGTGTATTCATCTATAAGGATTAAAGTTTTACTTTAGTAATTTTTAATATAAATTTCAATAATGTGTGAATTAATTACAGATATTAAAGGTGTAGAACATTAATTCTGATTAGATAATGATATTGACAAAAAAATATATAGTAATATACCTAATTTTTGTCTATATTATTTTATGGAGTATTACTTGATTAGATCCTTCTTAAGTATTCCTTGGTATGGTGCAACAGGGAGATCAAGCATCGATAATTGGAGGTGTGGTTGATTACATCAACGAGTTGCAGCAGGTTCTGCAAGCCCTGGAGGCCAAGAAACAAAGAAAAGTTTACAGCGAAGTACTAAGCCCTAGGCTTGTTTCAAGCCCAAGGCCTTCACCACTGAGTCCTCGGAAGCCACCTCTGAGCCCGAGACTAAACTTGCCCATAAGCCCAAGAACTCCACAACCAGGAAGCCCTTATAGGCCAAGGTTGCAGCAAGGCTACAACAACATTATTTCACCAACCATGTCGAACTCTCTGGACCCTTCTCCCACTACTTCTTCCGCTTCCTCCATGAACGACAACATCAACGAGCTTGTTGCGAATTCGAAATCAGCTTCTGCTGACGTGGAGGTAAAGTTTTCAGGTCCGCACGTTCTTCTGAAAACGGTGTCGCAACGAATTCCAGGTCAGGCTCTGAAGATAATAACGGCACTTGAAGATCTTGCGCTCGAAATCCTCCATGTCAATATTAACTCTGCTGCTGATGATACCATGCTCAACTCGTTCACTATCAAGGTACATTTTTGGAGTATATAAATGATTGATTAATCTTCTTATTTCTTCCACTTTAAGGTGTCCGTTCATAGCCAACATGCTAGCATTCAATGGAGAAATCTCTATCTTAAAGACGTAAATTAAAGCACCATATATGAATTAATAAAGTATGTTATGGAAATAAAAATGAAAAATGAAAAACAAGAAATCTCTGCAGTACCTTAATTATCACATGCATAACTGCAAAACGTTGTACACGCACAGAAAGAATTTTTTTTTTTTTTTTAAAAAAAGCTGGATCAGAGGTAGGTATAACTCCCTTTTAGTTAAAATTTAAATAAAAAGTTTAAAAAAAAATTAAAAAATGTTAATGCTTTTATATTATCAATTTTTTTAACTAAAAGTTTTGTTTAATTGTTCCAAATAGTTCCAGATGAGAGAAACTAAAGTACGCAGTTTATTTTTAAAATTAGATTAATGAATTCAATAGTCCTCTTTGGAAGCTATTTTACTCTCTTTTTTTCTTTTGTAAAAGTTAAATTTCGAAATTCTTTAACATTTTTTTTTACCAAATGTCTTTAATTAAATTTCTTTTTTAAAGAAAAGAAAATCCAAAAATAAAAAAATTAGGTCAAATACCATCCAAGAATATCTCCAACTTTGATACATATAAAAGATGTTTTATATTTTATAATTTTAAATAAGTATGTGCATAAGACATTATTTTATACAAATTAAATAACTCGTCTCTAAAGCTAAATTTTAAAAAAATATATATATAATATTCATTATGCCTTATAATTATAGTTCTATTTGATTTTATTTCAATTTATACACACAGGAGAGAGAATAGAGCTATCAAATAAAAATTCTTGATTATTTTAAGAATTATAAAAAAAAAAGTGTAAATATGAAGAGAATTATCACAAAGTGTAAATATGAATTATACAACTATACATAAATGATGTATAGTTTAAGATTTAAGTCAATTAATAATCATATATGGCTATTTAAAAAAGTCATGCATATTTATTTAATTTTAATTTCAATCATTTAAATATGATCTAATATATTTTATCATTTAATTTTTACTTCTCACAATAATAAGAGGTCATATTTAATACGCTATTTACATATGTGTCTGCCTCACAATTTGTTCCTTATGATGAAATTGTGATAAAAATAACAAATAACAATTTGTTATAGGTAAAAATGAGATAAGCAATTTTTTTTGGTAAATAAGGTAAAAATGAGTTAAGCAACTCCTAAAAGAGTTGTTCTTATAATCTTCTTTTTTACACCTAGATTTTCGTATATTTCATTTGTTTATGTTCTTAACTTTACATTTTATTTATATGTTTAAAAGAGAAATTCTTCTTCTCAGAGAGAGAAACTCTCTCTCTCTCTCCCTCTCTCTCTCTATCTCTCTCTCTTTTTCACGTTTAACCATGCAAAAATAAGGTTCTCTCTCTTTTTCACGTTTAACCATGTAAAAATAAGGTGTAAAATTATGAGACGTAGAAAAACCATTTTCACTCTTTCTTTACATTCTTTATTAAAAACTTACTCTACATTCAAGTGTAAATAAAGATTACGCCATGAAAAAAAAATGTTTATCTCAAAATCTCTAATGTTTATACTACCCCCGCCACTTTTATATATATATATTTTTTATCTTTCTTTCTTTCTACAAAGTATAGAGAATTTGAGATAAAAAAAAAAAAGATTGGCTTATGTAAAAATATCGTAATGAAAACGGCTTGGATTTTTAGTTCTTACCATCCCAACCTAAAAAAAAAATACTAGTAATAAATAACAGGAGCAGAATGAAACGTTTAGCAAAACCTAAGAGCAACTCCAATAAGAGTTGCTTGTCCCATGAAGCAACTCAATCCTCGGTTTCTTGTTATTGGAGGACTCTAACGTGGCAACATGAGTTGCTTGAAGAAGAGAGAGAGTTGTTTCTTCAAGCAACCGTTCCTTACCAGATTTCAAACAGATTTTATTGAACATATTTGGAAATGTTTCAAAAATAATAATGATGAAAATTAATTTTGTATAATATTTATGTATTTACTATTACTTTATTTTATTTTTAATATCTACTTATTGTGTATTTTTTCTCGTAATTTATTTTCTTCCATTGTAGTGCAATTATCCTTTTTAATAAATTTAAATTTAGTTCATAAATGATTAGAAAAAAATTCTAAAAGTTGAATTTCTTAAAGTTTCTTACCATTGGAATAAATTTGTGTTTGAGTTGCTTAATACTAATATGACACACTAGGAACCACTTATTTCATTTTTCAATGCATGAAACAACTCAAATGAGTTGCTTCCGTTAGAGATGCCCTAAAATCACAGGAGCAGTCTGAAACGTGTAGCAAAACCTAAATAATGTGAGTGGTGACAATGAATGAAATAATAAGAGTATGCTCTATACAGTCCAGTTCTTTATTGCGATATGTAACAAATTAATGGTCTGGTGTACCTGGGATATCGATAATACCGACTGTATATTTTTCATAGCACATGTCCAGAAGAGCAGAGAAACATGTATTGTGGTTCAACTCAGACATTTGTCCCCATTCTCTGAAAAGACGAATATTAAATTATTGTGTAGTTTTGATTTCAATTAAATTGGTTTATTCATGCATGCTACTTACGTGTTCAATTTAGGTTCACTAATAATTGTGGTTTCTTTGTGTACATATATATAGATTGGAATTGAATGCCAACTGAGTGCGGAAGAACTTGCTCAACAAATCCAGCAAACATTCTGCTAATTATAAAAAGAAGGGTTATTATGTCTCAGACCAAACATCTGCAATTCCATGCACCCCTCTCTCTTCTCATACTGTGTTGTACCTACCTTGTTGTACAAAAATGGGAAGACCCATTTATTTTCAACAATTTATCATTTTCCTTCTTTTTTATTACCGCAATTGCTAGTGTAATTCGTCATCATAAGTATTAGCTAGTTAGCATAGACTCACTCTCTTGTAATTGACCATCGCAAGCTTTTATTTTATTTTATTTTATTTGGTAATGATCATCAAGCTTTAATTTGTGTATTAATTAGATTAATTTCCATTTCCCAAATTGAAACACTCGTTTACAATTCCTGCAATTTTTGGTTAAATTTTGAGCGCTCGATCAATTTGTCATTCAATAAACGATAAATTTTTTTTTTAAGAGATTGTTGGAATAATTTTTTTCTTAAATACTTTTAAAAGAAAAAATAAAATAAATGCATGATTTTTTTATAAATTAAAATTAGTTTATACAAAAATTAAAAAAAATATGGTTTGGGAAAAAAAACTATTTCATTATAACTTTTGGAAAATTTATTTCATTTCATTTTGGAAAAATTTTGTTATTACATTATCATTTTATCTTTCAGTTTGTTTAACTTTATCCTTGGTCTTTCACACAATTAATTTCTTTAAAAGCAGTGTTTTAAAACCCGGACCGACCCGGCCGGTCGGACCGGTTGGACCGGGAACCTGTGGTCCAGCCGGGCTGAATCTG